GGAGAGGGAGGGCACTCCCTCATCAGAGCAGGTCACAGTTATATTATGCTCAGAGGCTGTCTCTCTGTCTAATTCACCGTTTGTTCGTATGCTATAGAAACCATTCGATGTATTTTCAATGATAAAAGTCAAACTTTCACTCAAAAAACATTGAAATTCTCCGTTAGTATCCGAGTCAGCATCGTGCACATTCATAACAGCAACAACTGTTTGAAACGTTGAATCTTCCGGAATAGATTGTGTTGTTGACATTAAATCTATTATTGGAATATTGTCATTCACATCAATAATGTCAAATAGTATTTTGCATGAGCCAGTGAGCCCCCCTTGATCTCTTGCTTTAACATCTAACTGATAATGTTTTGATATTTCATAATCTATTTTGCCAATCAAACGTACCTCACCACTTGTCCCATCAATTTCAAATAAATCCAAAATCCCCTCAGTGTTACTGGAAATGGAGTATGTTACAACACCATTCGTGCCTTGATCTCTGTCTGTGGCTGTTACAGTCATCAATGAAGTTCCCTTCTGGGAGTTTTCCATTAAACTTGCTTTATAAGTTGACTGCGTAAACACCGGAGCATTGTCATTCACATCTAAGACAGTGACATGAATTTGCACCGTCCCTGACAAGTGAGGTTCACCTCCGTCGACGGCTGTTAGCGTTAAAGTCAGTTGCTCTTTTTCCTCGCGATCGAGGGGTTTTTCCAAGACCATCTCTACCTCCTTTTCTCCACCTGCATTGTCGTTGAGTTTTAAAACGAAATTATCTGTTGGGTAAAGGGAATAGCTCTTGAGTCCGTTCATACCGACGTCATAATCTAATGCTCTCTCTAATACAAATGTGGACCCTCTGACAGCCAATTCGCTAATCTCAAAAAGCATATTATTCATTTTAAATATTGGGGCGTTGTCGTTTATATCTGTTATTTCTACCGTAACGCGAAAGAACTCGATGGGGTTTTCCAAAATTATTTGAAAATGGAGAGCGCAAGGAGTCGTTTGCTTGCAAAACGCCTCTCTGTCCATTCTCTCTTTGATGAGAAGGAGTCCCTTTTCTTTATTCAACTCGATGTATTCAGCGCCGTTTCCAACATGCAAGCGAGCTTTTCCTGTTTTCAGACGTTTTAAATCTAAACCTAAATCTTGTGCTATGTTGCCAATAAACGAGCCTTTTGACATTTCCTCGGGAATAGAATAGCTGACCTGCCCAAGCACGGGACATAAAAAAAGCATCGAGAAAAACAATAGTACTTGCCGTCTCATTGTTTCGTTCAACGATTATAGGATCACAACGAATCAGAAAAAAAATCCGCAAATGAGACCGTCGTATTCCAATCACTGGATGACTAAGAATGAAGAACCATCAACACAAATGTCGATCAATATATTTCCCGTTTGTTTGCCCGTGTGCAGTGTTCTCGGTAACTCGCACTGTGCCTTGTGTCGGCCTTGCTTCTGACAAATATAAATGATCTGGGAGGTGGTGTTGAGATCTGCAGTGAAACTCACACACACTGGCCAACAGCGTCCCTAAGAGTACAGAACACAAAACTGCATAATACTGGATATTAAGGAGTACAAGCATTACACACACACGCACCCACACACAATGCAATATCATTCGAAGTTCTGGAAACAGTTGCTTTGTGTAGCATGATTATCCATATTGCCAAACTCGTTTTGAATACATTATAAAAATAAGAAAGATGAAACGCGAAAAAACTAGATAAACTTGTCTAAATAAGACGGCTGTATGTCAACATTACTCCACTAGTTGCTGCTGACATGATATTTTACTGAAAAAAGTACACGATAACATTCAGTCCGAGACATGGAAAGTCAGACAAGCACTCACACACAATGACGAGCAACTTCAAGAATGAGTACAAAATATAAAAATAAAGGAAAACTGAGCTCCTGCACATACTCTGCAATGCCCAAATGTACGATAATTCGTCAAGCACTGTCCCTGGTGCTGAAGATCACGTATTGCGGCATACTGAACCAAATTATCTAAATAGACTAATGATTGACAGTTTTCTTTGCTCCGAAAAGTGTATGTTATTGCTATTTGTGGAATGCCTCACCTCTAGAGGAGAGTCTGGTTCATCCAGGATGCTCTTCTCACT